GCCGGAAGATGACGTCATCTTCCGGCGCCGGCATCCCTACGCGGCGTGCGAGGGAGCTAAAGATGAAGCACTGAGTGTTCCCTCGCGCACCCGCCTGCCCGACCGACCACCCGCCCAGGAGCCCAGCAGCACCACTGGACCCCAGGGAATCCCCCCAGCACTCCAAAAGGTAAGGAGGCTGGGGGGATTACATTTAAAAACAAATGTGTGAGTGTTAGTGTGAGTGTTAGAGTGAGTGTTAGAGTGAGTGTTAGTGAGTGTTAGTGTGTGTGTTAGTGTGTGTGTTAGTGTGAGTGTTAGTGTGTGTGTCTGCTAGTGAGTGTTAGTGTGAGTGTTAGTGTGTGTGTCTTACTGAGTGTGTGTGTTAGTGAGTCTGTTTGATGTCTGTTAGTGAGTGCGTGTTTGTCAATGAGAGTGTATGTTTTGTAAGTGAGTGTATGTATGTCTGTCGCTGAGTCTGTCTCTGTCAGTAAATGTGTGTGACTGTTAGCTAGTGTGTATGCGTCTGTAAGTGTGTGTGTGTGTGTCTTCAGCACTTACATTTCTCCAGCGCCGGACTCCCTTGGCTGGGATTACCTCCAGCCTCTCAGCTCGAGATGTGACCTTTTACGCATTCAAACCGCCCATAGAGAGAAAATTTACTCAATGCTTTCCTATGGGCGTTAAGTGTCGTTCAGTGTGCTCCTCTAGCGGCTGTCAGTGAGACAGCCACTAGAGGCTGGATTAACCCTCAGTGAAACATAGCAGTTTCTCTGAAACTGCTATGTTTTCATCTGCAGGGTTAAAACTAGAGGGACCTGACACCCAGACAACTTCATTGAGCTAAAGTGATCTGGGTGTCTGTAGTGGTCCTTTAAGTGTGTGCGCCTCTGCATGCACTGGCGTACATACCGCGGTCGCAGGGGTTGCAGCCCTGTAACCCCTGCGACCAGGTGCCCACCGCCATGTGTTGCGGCCCGGCCCGCGCGCGGGGGGGCCCACGGATCAATTTTCGCACCGGGGCCCCATGGGTCATGTGTACGCCACTGCCTGGCAGTCAGCATACAATCCAATTCCCCCAATAACGAGACAACACTTCGTTTGAGGGTTAAGCAGAATCTGTTTACTGGCACCAAAAGAGCCTTCTTGTATGCAGGTTTCCCTTAGATAGGACCACCCACAGGGTTTAACAAAACAACCAATAAACACATACAATACACAGACACTCCCACACAAAATCCTCCCCTCTGCCTGTGATACAATTACCTTAAACAATGGGTAATGTAATTATCACCGGCAGAGAAATACAGTTTTTCCACATTATTCATAACTTGAAAATCATGCATCACATTACATTTTCAGAATCAGCATACTCCAAATACAAACATATGTCAAAATCATCCAAATTGGTCCATTGGTTTAAAAGATAGATCGAAGTCCTTTGTGACCAAATGAAGCATGGCTTTTCTGCCCAAAACCAGTTCCACAGAGTCTTCTATCCTGGAGATAATTGGGAAGTAATCCAATTATCTCCAAGGACAGAAGCAAAACTTCATTGAACACATGGCAGCAAAAGACAATAAAACACATAAAAAATATATAACTGTGCAGCCATTGCACAAAACAGGTACATTCAACATATCCCCAGATAGCTCAGATCTGAGCGCACATTATTACTGAATGGAGCTCAGAGCACACACATACAGTTCAATTGCCATGGAGCCAAGGTCTTTCCCATAGTCTCTCATTATACGAATGGGCTCCATGGCATAGCTATCTGGGGTATCACCGCTCAAACAGGGCCAGCACCGAATGACCCGGCTTTCGTGTCTTTGCAGGGGAAAAATCAAGCGTTTCAACATGGGGCCATAGTCTAAAGGCAGCAGGCGGGCAACCAGGCTTCTCCAGTGCATAGTGGCGAGGTTGGTTCCGTCACAAGTAGTATCACACCCCAAGGGCATTCTTAGGGGTAGAACAAGAGTACCACTCCCTCGTGTGTCCCAGGGCAAGAAAGGTCACCCAAATTGTGCTTCCAATTAGGGGGAAAAAACCTGGAACTAAACTACTAAAAATAAATTTATTCTCAATTAGTACAAAATAAGAGACCATAGCAAATCAACAAAACATAATAAAACAGGGGTGTATGAGAGGTGGCTCGTATCCAACTCTGAGCAGGCAGGAGAAAGTGAGTACAGGAGAAAATAGAGGTTGATGATCTTATACACCCCAGTTTTAACCTCTTAGGGATGGTGTCCTTGGGGACCCAGCTCTAAACAATGGGGGGGCGGCATAGCACATCCCCCTGCTCCCGTTCTGGTCCTCCTGGGCCATGTGATTGCAAGGACCGCACAATCACATGGACAGCATAGCCATCCATAGCAGTTCCAACAGGGGGAGTGCCTGACAGGTACTCCCCCTGCTGCCTGAAAAATGTAAAACAAAATATTTAAAAACAGGTAAAAATAAAATATATACTTAGATCATACATTAAAATATATATACATACATATGCATTCAAATATATATATAGTAATTTCGTACTAACGGTATTTTAAAATTAATATATATTGATATCAATATACACGTAGAACAAAATAATATATATCTATATATGTATGTCTCTACATATATATATATATATATATATATAAATAAATAAAAATAATTTTAAAAAATACACAATATATATATATATATATATATATATATATATATATTACACAAGATCCAGCGCACTCACCTATCCACTAAACAGCAACTTCCATGTTGAAAGATTTTATTCGTTTTTTTAAAAACACCTAATCTAGGCAAAAATAATGGGGGTTTAGTTACATTATATGATCATACATTGCATAAGCCTGCCACAACGTCAATGTAACCCATCTTTGGCAGGTCCTACACTAACAACCTAATGTCTGCTCTTATGAGATTAACCACTTACTTGAGGAAAAAAATTCCACCTGGGGCTCTCTGCAGTACAAGGCTAAATAGGGCCCTGGGATGAGGCACCTGTGACAGGGAGGGGTGCAAAACCAAGGAGTTGGCTAGACTCCCAAATATATATATATGAAACAAGGGGGGGTTGGCTGCACTCACCTGAACATGCATAAATGGGGGTGCTGCTGGGGGCCAAATAATACAAAACACAAGATCCAGCGCACTCACCTATCCACTAAACAGCAACTTCAATGTTGAAAGATTTTATTAGTTTTTTTAAAAACACCTAATCTAGGCAAAAATAATGGGGGTTTAGTTACATTATATGATCATACATTGCATAAGCCTGCCACAACGTCAATGTACCCCATCTTTGGCAGGTCCTATATATATATATAATAATTCTACATATTTTACATAATTAGGTCATTTTATTAATTACAATTTGTGGGACCTGCCTGACAACCCAGGCAGAAAGTTCAGAGAATTTAATTTGCTAGAACTATATTTAACCCTGTAACTTTCCAAGACACCTTAAAACCTGTACATGGGGTGTACTGTTTTACTCGGAAGACTTAGCTGAACACAGATATTAGTATTTCAAAACAGTAAAATTTATCATATCATTTGTGAAAGTGATGTTTTTTGCATTTTTCACACACAAATTGCAATTACATGGACAATATAATTGTTGTGATAAGTTTTACTGTTTTGAAACACTAATATTTGTGTTCATCTAAGTCTCCCGAGTTTAACAGTACCCCTCATGTACAAGTTTTATGGTGTTTTCAAAAGTTACAGAGTCAAATATAAGGCATGCGTTTCAGTTTTTTCACATTGAAATTTGCCAGATTGGCTATGTTGCCTTTGAGACCGTATGGTAGTCCAGGAATTAAAATTACCCCCATGATGGCATACCATTTGCAATAGTAGACAACACAAGGTATTGCAAATGGGGTATGTCCTGTCTTTTTTAGTAGCCACTTAGTCACAACCTGACCATTTCTTAAATATTTTATTCATATTAAATTATGTTTCATACCTAAATATTTTATGTTAAATGAAAGCCCTGTTTCCCCTGAATAAAATGATATATAATAATGTGGGTGCACATTATATGAAAAAGGTGAATTACGCCTGAACAGACATATAGCGCAAATTCAAGGTTTTGTTTACATTTTGTTTTGATCACAACGTGTACATTTGGCTCATTCCTTAACCCCTTCAGGACGGAGACAATAGTACACGTTCTGATCAAAACAAAATGTAAACAAAATTTGCGCAATATGTCTGTTCAACCGTAATTCACCTATTTCAGATTAAGTGAACCCACACTTATTAAATATAATTTTGTTCAGGAGAAATTGGGCTTTAACTTCTCATGAACTATTCATATTTGAAACAATTTATTATGAATAAAATTAAAAAAACTGAGAAATTAAGATTTTTTAAAAACATTGTAGACATTTTAGCTGTAAATGTCATAATACCATTAGCTTTAACTGCAAAAAAACACATTTGGATTCAGTAAAGTCTCACGAGTACAACAGTAGCCCCTCATTAACCGTTTTTACTGTGTTTTGGAAAGTTAAAGGGTCAAATGTAGCACATTCAATTTTTCAGTTTTTTCAAATTGAAATTCGCCAGGTTGGTTATATTGCCTTTGAGATCTTGTGGTAGCCCAGGAATGTGATTTACCCCATGATGGCATACCATTTGCAAAAGTAGACAACCCAAGGTATTGCAAGTGAGGTATGTCCAGTCTTTTATAGTAGCCACTTAGTCACAAACACTGGCCAAAGTTAGCGTTCATATTTGTTTTTGTGTGAAAAAAGCAAAAAACCCAAATATTTGGCCAGTGTTTGTGACTACTAAAAATGACTGGACATACGGTTCTGCTGTTTTGGAGTTCCTGCAACTTTAGCCACACCTCCCATAGCTGCCAATCACAAACTCCCTTTAATACCTCCTGAAAGGTAGATCAATTTCTCCCACTCTTATTTTCAGCAGCATTGGTATTTATTATAGGACTGCAGAGATGTTGAGGTTGTCCTCAGAAACTGTCCCCCCTAAGCGGGTCCTAACACTGACCCTTCAGCCTGCTTCCTTGAGCTTCTGGCAAAGATATCTCTATCTATCTATATCTCTGTCTCATTAGAGATATCTTTGCCAGAAGCTCAAGGAAGCAGGCTGAAGGGTCAGTGTTAGGACCCGCTTAGGGGGGTCTGCCTTGGCACTGGCAGGCGGGCATTCCCTCCAATGGCCATTGGAGCAACTAAATGACCTCCATTTGTCTAAATATACATAGGGATTAAGGAGAGAGCACAGGTAACTTTTTCTTTTCTTTGGTTCTAGGGCATATAGCCTGGCCCTGCAGGCTGAGCATTATAAACATGGCCTTATTTGCAAAAAAGCAGTTTTAAACTCTTGCCTAGCACCATCTTTAGTGGTTGTCAGACTGATAGCCACTAGAGCAGGCATGGGGAACCTTTGGCCCTCCAGATGTTTTGGACGACATCTCCCATAACGCTATTAGAGCCATAATGCTATGAGGGCCGAAGGTTCCCCACCCCTGCACTAGAGGAACTTCCTAGGTTTGGTCCTGCAAAGATTGCATGGACATTCTGCATGGAGACACTGAATGCTCCCCATAGAGATGCATTGATTTAATGCATTACTATAAGGAGAAGCTGATTTGCACAGCACAATGATTTTCTGCATATGTGCACTATCCTCCAAATGTTTGCCTATTGGAAAAAATTGCATTGGCTGAGATAATCTTCACTATTCATAATACAATCTATTATGCTGTACCTAGCCAAACTACTATTTCTTATTTTTATTTTGTGAAATATGAATATGTAGGAAGTTATTACTGTCAAGGTTCTTACCTGACGTGGAGTCCGGAAGCGCAGATATATACGCTCATCCTTGCAAATAAACACAGACCAAGGTGACCAGGTAAGAATCTACCTGGCCTGTGAGTCTGTGCACGGGGGCTGTGCAGGGATATAACTCCAAGTCGCAGTACAGGCAAGGACAAGCAGAAGAGTAGTCATGGTCAAAGTGAGGGGAAGCCAGAGGTCAGAGAAAATGATGAGAAGAGCAAAAAAACAAACTGGAGAACACACGATCTGGATACGCGGAAACAAAAACGTGGAGTCAATGAACTGGCAAAGTTCCCAGGGCAGGGCAATGCTATTATACCCAGCTAATTTATGATCTGCTTCAGGTGGGCTAGATAGACAGGAGCAGCCACAGGTAAAGTCCAGCCCCCAGTGCTGGAGACAAGGTGAGGATAACCATTACAATGAAACAAGAACTGAAGTGTATCCCAGAGGCAAGAAAGCAGGGCTAAGGCAGAAAGAATCCAAAGTTCAGATCTCCTGTTGGGCACTTCTGGGGTGACAATGTCTGGATGTCACCATAAGAACCGTGACAATTACTCTTTAACACTCATGTTTTCATGTGGTATATACTCATGTACTTATCAAGTTGGGGTTCCCAACTAATATATGCCTTGCATCCTTTCCCTGCTCTCTTTGTTTAGCTATACTCTAACTGCACTGTTGCGCCTATTTTATGAGTGTTTACTGTCCTTTGATATCTAATAAAACTAAAGGTTACATAAATACTTTACACTTTTCTCTGTACCTTCTACCTGTAGAACCTAGATTTATGTGTTTGTTTGATATTCTTAGTTAGGGTTACAACCCTTCTTTTCGGGAGATTAGTTTGGGTGACCTTTTATTGGTGATTGTCTAACAGCCTCTGGTGTACATACCGCAGTCACAGGGTGTACATACCGCAGTCACAGGGGGCCCCTCCAGGGGGCCCAGCTGCCCAGCTGATCCCTGCGACCCGCCACCATCTTTTGCTGTTAGGGCCACCCGATGGAGATGGATTTTCAAGGAGCCTGGTCAGCGCTGGGCACTTTAACAGCGCGACCGGGCCCCTGTGATGATGTCAGACACTGCAGGTCACTCCTCCCAGCTATCAGAGAGCTGCTCAGAAGGAAGGAGGAGGGAGTCAGAGTGGGAACTCTGACTCCCATCAGGCTGAGCCCACACTGGACCCCAGGAAAGTCACTCTCCTGCAAAAGGTAGTAAACAGGAGGGTGACTTAAACATTTTGTATGTGTCTGTGTGTCTGTCTGTGTGCATGTCTGTATGTATGTGTATGTATGTGTCTGTGTGTCTGTCTGTATGTGTGTGTGTATTTGTGTGTGTCTGTATGTATGTGTTTGTGTGTGTCTCTGTATGTATGTGTCTGTGTGTGTGTCTCTGTATGTATGTGTCTGTATCAGTTGTCATACAGACACATACATACAGAGACACACATACATACAGAGACACACACAGACACATACATACAGACACACACACACATACAGACACATACATACAGACATATGTCACATATACATATGTGGCGAACATTTCTGTGGGTGGCTGGGTTGTGGAGGGAAGTAAATACACTGATATCTCAAATGTTCCAAAGACACAAACCATTGTGTGGAAATCTATTCACAAACAGGACTTTACATAGGACACGAGGTCATGTGTTAGACTGGAAGAAAGAATATTTAGTCTAAGGCAAAGAAAAGTTTTTTTTACTGTAAGAACATTAAGGATATGGAATTATCTGCCTGAAGAAGGGGGATACATCTGACCGCTAAGGATACATCTAACTGCCATTCTGGGGTCAAGAGGGATTTTTTATTGGAAAATTGGAAGTGCTTCAAAATTTTTTTTTTTTGCCTTCTTTTGGACCAACAGCAAAAAACAAATGTAAAGAAGGCACATGTCTTGTTTCAACTTATGTAACTATGTAACTATTTCAGAACAGAGTACGGATTTTATTACTAAACAGCATGATATCAATAAAGTTTTTTTTCCTGTGGGGGATGTATGGGATCCAAGACAACTGATATAAAAGAAAATGGAGAAGAAAGATGTAACTCTTAAAGGGATACTATAGTCACCAGAATAACTACAGCTAAATGTATTTGTTCTGGTGAGTATAGTCAGTCCCTGCAGGCTTTTTGTTTTAAATATGTTTATTGGTTTCACAACATGCGTTTTAGTGCAAACCTATTTGTATTTAAGTGGGTAAACGCCTGCGCAGAGGCGTAGTTTTTAGTACATATATAAGTATGCAAGCTGTTGCCTGCGCAGAGGCATATTAATCGAGTCATCAGTTTTACAGCAAGTAGATTCATTTTTGCACATGTGCGTTTTGTAACATTTGCAATGTTATGTTCCTGATCATGTGTTTATGCTATCTGATGTGTTTCAGGTTTACGTTTATGTAATCATCCAGTGTTGGCTGATTTATGTAGTTGCTTTATGTTTGCTGGTGTATGTAGTTAGTTTATGGTAACTGGTTTATATAATTGCGTTGTGTTAACTGGTTTGTGCAAGTGTTTTGTGTTAACTGGTTTGTGCAAGTGTTTTGCGTTAGCTGGTTATGTGGTTGCTTTGTGTTAGCTGTTTTAGTTACCTTTTGTTAGCCGGTGTATGCCGTTGGTTTGTGTTAGTTGGTTGGTGTATTTGCTATGGGTTAGCTGGCTTAAGCAAGTGTCTTATGGTAGCTGGTTTGTGCAGGTGCTTTGTGGCAGTTAGTTTGGGTGATGGCTTGGGCGTTGTATCATACAATGCAGTAATGAGGCAGTTAAGTAGGCAGTAGTAAGACATTAAAGGCTTATAATAGTAACTAACAACCTATCGTCTTGTCCTTGCTGCTAGGTCGGGTGCTTATCAATCTGTACTACCCTGCACGATTTCAAGTAGAAGACGTATGCACACAGCATCTAATAATCATTTGGCATTGAATAAAAACATAGCATTAAGTTGTTGCTGCCTGGTCTAATTCTTATCTATCTATCTTGCATTTTTATATCCATATAAAATATATTAACAAACACATTACACCAGATGCATTGTTAGTGTCTAGTCTGTTATTAGTCTGGTTTAGGAACTTTAGGGAGCAGTGGACATGCGTAACTGGGCAATCTAACAGTCACTGGATTCTTTAAAGACATGCATGTTTCTGCTAACGACTTAGAAAGAAAATGCTTATGTAAAAAGGAAAAATGTGAATTGTAATGCGGCAATGTGGCCTTGTCAGTCTGCTTGGCCATCTGGGGGAGTCTCTCATGGCACTGCTACCACCCCATCCCTGGGTCGCCAGACCTCCTTCCATCTTCCCCCTGCCAATCTCCGTTCACCGGTCGGGGCCCCCGCAGTGCCGTGGGCACTCAGGAGCTTGTACTGACCATTGGACCCCACCACAAAAGTCCTCTGGCCGTCCGTTCCCTGCACCTCCCCAGCTCCACGTGGGTCTCTTGATGCGTGCACTCCTGTGTCTCGCCCGGTGCTGGCCACATGTTTGGGGCCGGTGTCCATCCCTCACGACCACCTAGTCCCACCCCACCGGGTTCACAGTGTCGGGGACTAGGCTCTCTGGGGACCCACCAGACCCAGAGACCACGGGTACCCACTTCTCCAGCAGTCCAGGTCTCAGCAAGGAGGATCTGTCTGGTGCTCGGCTCCGCCAGGGCCTGTGTGAGCCGTCCATGTCAGTCCCCCTTGGTGTTTCTCTGTCGAAGGTAAGTCCTCGGGCGGGCTCCATTCCGGTAGCCTTTGCCCGTTTAGGCAGTCGGCTCAGACCCTACGCTGTATCTTCCGCTCTGGAGTGTGCCACTGCCATGTGGCCGGGATTGCCCCCCCGACCGGGCAGGGAGGGGGGAACGGGGCCGGGCCGCCTCTCGCAACTGTGCATTCTTCCGTGCAGCTATTCTAGCTGGCATACTGCTATCTCCGGGCTGCCAATCGTTTATCCGTGTGTCCTCGGGAGCTGCCATTGTCCATGCTTGTGATGGTGAGTAGGCCTGCTTCTTTATTTGCGGTGTTCCTGGCTTGAAACCTGCTCCTATTTGGGATCTCTGTGTAGCTTAGATGTTGCTGGTTAATTATATGTCGGTCATTTCTGTTTTAGGGCCGTCTGAGCGCTGATTTTTGCCGTTTTTCTGGGCTCAGGCCGGGAGGCATAGTGTTCTGCTGCCTCTCAGCTCGGTGGCCCCACCCCTACCTGCAGGCTTTTTGCAGTAAACACAGTTTTTTCAGAGAAAAGGCAGTGTTTACATTACAGTCTAGGGACACCTCCAGTGGCCATTCCTTAGATGGCAACTAGAGGTGCTTCCC